TAGTTCGTCCGCGGGCAAGTAGGCCCAGGCTCATTCAGCGGCCATGTTAGATAGGCCTACCGTCTTCACACGCCCCGCCAATGGGCCTCGGCCGTGATTAAGCCAATTTAATTAATGTTTAGTCGGTTAGTTACAAGCTGTTGGCAGGGGATATTGGGTCGTCTTATCAGGCATCGGGAAGAAAAAACGGCCGTTTTAGAGGGTCGTTCGCTGGCAGGTCGCGGCGGCGTTGGGCTACACCTTTGAGGCTTGAACCTGCCTTTATTTATTCATTGTTGTATGCATCTATGTATTATATATATATTATATATATATATATATATATATATATATATATATATATATATATATATATATATATATATATACCCACGCACCCACATTAGTAGCGCATCCCATCCTTCCTTAGATGGCCACCTAACCCTCTCCTTCCCTCCCGCAGATCTGGTTCAAGAACCGCCGCGCCAAGTGGAGGAAGCGCGAGCGCCACGCCATGGCCACGGCGATGCCCGGCGACCTGAAGGGCGGCTGGGGCGCGCAGCTCAACGGCCTGGCGTGGCCCGACGAAGGCCTCTACTCCGGCTACTCCTCCTACAACAACTGGGCGAAGGTGACGCCGCCGCCGCTGGGCGCCAAGAGCTTCGCGTGGGGCTTCAACGGCGTCAACATGAACCCGCTGATGAGCCAGCAGCCGTCGGCCATGTCGCCCATCAACTGCTTCCAGACGCCCACGCAGGGCATGGGCGGCTCGGCCAACCTCATGCCCACCTCCATGTCGTCGTCGCTGGGCTCGAGCGCCGCCCCGTGCCCGTACCCGGCGCCCACCCCGCCCTACGTGTACCGCGACCAGACGTCCTCCATGTCCTCCTCCATCGCCTCGCTGCGCCTCAAGGCCAAGTCGCACTCGCCCGCCTTCTCCTACTCCAGCGGCGGCGCGGACACGCGCTCCCCGCCCGTGCCCGACAACAACGCCTTCTTCGCTGCCGCGGCGGCGCCCAGTGACAAGTTCTCCTGCATGAACACCGTCATCGCGTAACGCCCGCGGCGCCCTCACGCCCACACAATACCAATACCACGCCCTCAGCCACCTTGAGCTGGCTGTGGCTGTGTGGGGAACCGCGGCCCTCGGCGACGCACTTCGGCGGACGGCAGGCGCCGGCCCGTCGCCGCCGCCGCTTTGCGCCAGCGCCGGAAGGTCCGGGAGAGGGACCTGAAGAAGGCCGCGCAGTCGCCGTCAGGAGCCGGATCGCAAGCCGAGGCCCCTGCTGCAGGTCGCGGTCAGCTCACGGGTATCCTATGGACAGGACTTGTATCGTTGAACAAAAGATAGACGAAAGTACCGAGCACGGGCGAGAGAGACTGAACCCGCCTCCCGCCCGCCGCTCCTCTCCAGTTCTGCAAAACCGACCTCGTACAGTGATTGTTGTGCAATATTTGCTTATCGCCTCTTTTATGTTAATTTTGCCTTCCTGATTCTCCCCACGGTCGGTTGGGAGAGACGAAAGAGCTGATACAAATATGTCCTTTATTTTTCTTCTCTGATTCTTCGTGACGTAACGGTGGGAATATATTCTCACCTGACGGTTATCATTGTTTAATATAAACGATTTGTGTATTCGATAAGTTGACGTGTATTTATTGTTTGTATTTGATTGACAGATGCTACGTTTTATTTTGTAAATATCGTTAATGCAGTGCATCTCGACTGTCTCCAATAAAATGAGAAATTACAGAAGTGAAACTAAATAACCATGAAAAAGCCACAAATAATCGCCGCTACACAAACCGGACCTAGTGGGCTTCGTCTCCTCCCGCCCATCATATTTCACACACAAAAAGAATAATGATTTATTTACGTCGTATGTATAATTGTCAATGTGCAGTGTTGTCAACAAATATGTACATAGATTTGTGCCACTTGCATAGAAGATAATATGACTTCCAGTGTGCATTGGCAAAACTTCACTTCAGAAATTTGGAAATAAATAAAAGAGTGTGTCGACCATGGCGTCATTCTCTCCGCGTGTGGCTGTTACAACGTCATCAACTCGGATGGGTTGTTCGTAACGAAGAAATTATATTTTCTTCCAACACACCTTCAAGGGTATACTCCTATTAACAGAGGTTATTACATTAAGTCGCGTGTATGTAAATATATAATTCCAAGGTGTGTAAACTGCGCTGTCTCTCTTCCACTCTTGCAAGGCCTAGTTCCTTCCTTCACAACAACAAATCTTTCCATTAGATGCCATGGCCAGAGGAAGGTGTGTGTCGACCACCACGTCATCAGGGTCGGTAGTGTGTGTCGGCCATCGTCTGACCTCCCGGCGACTGTTTACAAAGCGTATGTCGAGCGTGACGTCATGGGTCGTGTTCTCCTCGTGTGTCAAAGACTGTACATTCCATAACCATAAATCATATTATTATTCCCTCATTTGTACAGAAGAATGTTACCTCTCCCCCCCCCCCCCTCCCTCCCTCCCTCTTTTTAATCTGCTCT